TTTTTTTTTTTCCTCCCTGAGAATGTCTTTTTACCTGAAAATGCTTGATGAAGAAGCAAGGCATTATTTCATTCACACAGCCCTCAGTCTGTGACCCCAGAGGAGCTAGACCAGGGGCAGCTTTCCCATCCATTGTGTCTGCTGGAAGGGAGGTTTCTTACTGTTCCCTGTTCCACGAGGAGGTCAGCATCACCTCCTGACTGGTGAGTGAACAGGAGCCCCAGCAAGCCTCCCGGGCCTCTGCAAACCTGGCCTATGAGGTCGCAGCGGCTCGTAAGAGATTTTGGAAACTTCTGCTGGGGGCTTCGGTAGTTTCCTCTCTCCAAAAGGGAAGAGGAGTAAGCAGACACAAGGTCTGGGTCAGGCTGCACGTGTTGAACAGAACGGAGACGATGGAAGAGCAGAAGGTTGGAGGGCTGAGGTCAAGGCAGCTCTCTGACTGACATGCCAAAGGCTGATTCTGAACGGGATGCTGTTTTGTCAGGCTGAGAGGAAGGCCCTTGGGAGGCTCTGGCACCTGGACAGTGTTGCGCACAGTACAACTTTGAGTGAAAAATATGAAAGGAAACCTGCTGAGGTCCCCAAGAGGCTTGGTTCTGGGGAACACTGGCTGTCCCTCTGCCAGAGCCTTGCTGGCTGGTGACTGTGGACCCCAAGAGGACGAGAACCAGCTTAAAAGAGGAGATGAATAGTAGGTTCGTGGTAGCTGAGAACTGGGAACTGAGCAGAATTGAACGTTGAAAGTAATGGCTGCTGCCATGGTAACTCGGTGCTCTCTGAAATCCTTGAGAAACCTCTTCCTTTCTTTAGATAAATGTCAAGGAACTCTCCTAAGAAACAAAGCAAAGATTTGCTTAGGAGAAAACTAGCTTTGAAACGTGCTGTCCTCTTACCGTGGAAGTAGGAGAGTAGCCTTCCAGGATCACGTCCAAGGTCTGCTGTGGGTACAGCTCCATCCTGACGGGGTGGAGCTGAAACACGGGGCTCTGCAGAGTTCCGGGCCCCTGGAGAGCCCCAGGCCCCTGGCTTTTACTAAGTCCCTTCTTAGCAAGACCCTTCAAGCTTAGCTTTTCCTGGGGTTGGAAATCTTCATTCATCCAGAACAACTGTTGGACACGACGTCCCTTATTGGTCAACTTGAAGTGGTAATAAAAGGTGTCCTGGCTGGGAAAAGGATACAAGTGTTGAATGAGCTCAGCTGCAGGAAGTTCATCACTACACCAGGAGTGACCACGGCAGAGGACAAGGTCAGGGTCTACTCTTGGGGTCAACAGACTGAGCTGGGGACAGTTTGGCCCATGTTGCCACGCCCGGGGGAGGAGCCGCAGGAAAGTGGTGCCTGACACCCTCCGTCTTCCCCAGCAGGTCAAGCAGGCTACAGAACAAGTGAAAACCATCATGGGGGAAGTTGTCCTTATGAGTGAAAGGGAAAGACCTGTTGGAAGAGAGGTGTATTTCAATCACATTCTGTTAATTTCTACTGACTGAGTAAAATGTCTTCTAATGGCCTTAAACTGAAAGGAACTTAGAAGAACAGTGATATGCTTCTTCTCAGCCTTACCAAATGGGGATGATGACAGGTCACTTTTCTCAAACAAATGAGCTCTAAAGATGCTTCAATTTCACTGGTTCATTCATTCACTCATCTATTCTACATTCATGAAGAATAATGTGAAGATCTCTTCAGTAAATATTTGCTAGAAATTCAAGTTTCTAAGATCTTAGAATTGGTTCAAATGTGTCTGAGATTTAAAAAGAACTGATTTACATACTTACTTTAAAAGACTTTTTCAGGGGGGAAACTCAACTTAGGACTCTTATTTCTTTAATTTTATTAGGCCTTGAGAATCCATGCCATCTGTTCCTCCTTACACATCTGGTAAGTTGGAGCATCAGATAAATAAAAGAATATCTGATGGTTTTCAGGCTCAGTTACCCTGGGACATACTCACTGGGTTCTTACTCAGCAGCTTGATTTCATGGCTAACAGTAGTTTCAGTAATAACAAATAATAACTAGGCAGACTCTCAGTCACTTACTCACAATAAGAGATAATCTTTCAATCACTATTACAACCCAGAACAAATATATTTACTAGAGAAAGACACAGAAGCATTAACAATTTCAAAGAGTTACTAAAAACTGTATGATCAGGGCCCTCCCTGGTGGTGCAACAGGTTAAAGCACAGAACTAAGAAGCTGGTTGCAGCCACTTCAGCACGATTTTGATAGCCACTGAGGTGATCCACATAGCGTGGCAGACCTCTCCTGTCTCGCCTGCTGCTCCCCTCAGCAGTGTACTTTGTAAATCTGACTGTTCTGCTCCCCACTCTGTCTCTGAATCCTCTCACCAGCCCCTATATCTCTGGCCTGTATCCCAGTTCTGTATGCAAATAAATCTTAAAAAAAAAAAAAAGTATGTGATCAGAAGAGGTAACATGAGTAGCTACAATGCTCAGGAAGGTGGTGATTTTCTTCTGTAAAGTTAATTTTTTTAAAGGTTTATTTATGCATACAGAACTGGGGTACAGGCCAGGGGTGCAGGGGCAGTGAGAGAATTCATCAGAGACAGAGCAGGGAGTAGAACAGGCAGATCAATGAAGTACACTGCTGAGGGGAGCAACGGGAGGGTCAGGAGAAGTCTGCTGCACCATGTGGATCACCTCCGGGGTGGGGATCAAACTCATGCTGAAGTGGCTTTAGCTTCTTAGTGCTGTGCTTTAACCCACTGTGCCACCGGGGAGGGCCTGTAAAGTTAATTTTATAATTAATCATTAATAACAATTTCAACTTGGGGGCTACATGGTCTGTGTTACAACTACTCAACTGTGCTGCAATGTGAAAGGTATGGAAAATGTGTTGACGGGCATGGCTGTGTTCCAGAAACTGGCAGTGGGCTGAAGTTTGGCCACCCCTTTCTTCTGGAGATCACTAGCACCATGGTTTTATGTCACAAAGAAGATAAAATTTAGGCGGACAGGAAACAGACAGCTACAAACTACAGTCAGTGTCTCTATTCAAAGAAAACTAATAGCAAACTTTGCAATTCCAAGCAAGCGTCAGAATATCTCTGATCAGGGCTATTTGTAGATTAAGAACATGTAATTAAGTCTGGTTTGCAGTATACTGCTTTCTATAATTATATTTGAGTGCACTTAACAAATGAGTTTGGAAATGGAAGGCTGGTGTGTACTCAATGACAAATTGCCCTAACTTATGCCAATAGATGGGTGGAAGGAAATTTTTACATTTATTTGACACAAAGCTATATTTGGATAAGTGTCTGCAAACACAGGCAATTCAGCTCTCTGACATGCCTGTTACCTAATTCCTGTTGGCTTACAGTATTTGCCCATTTTGTGGTTGGAACAGGGGAAAGGAGACTTGGGTGGGTTTGTGGCAAGGCTCCTACGGACTTCCTGCCAGACACTCAAGTACCATGTATCCATCTTGGTTTCAGGGCCAGTTAAACAGGAATGCAGGGGTTTCTCCCTCCTTGAGATATTCTCCCTATATTGCACAGACAGATACAAATTTAAGGACCCCCCACTACTCAACTAGTGACAGTCATGTGACTCAAATAAGCCTTGCACGCATTCAAACCCCACCCATCTTCCGAGCCACTTGTATCTGCTCGGTGGTGTGTACACTGTACCACTTCTTATTCAAATATTTAGACTCTAGTTTTTCTGGAGTGATCAGTGGTATCAACTGCAATGACCTCAATTGTTGGAGTTATAGTGGGGGGGGGGCAAGCACAGGACTTAATAGGGGAAAAAATTACTGGCTTTGCAATGCCAGATAAGATACATTTGTAATAAATTTCTATCTTCCCAATTACATTCTACTTCCTACTTAATGCTCCAGTAACATGCATCTGTAGCTTCTAAATTGATGGAATGGGATTTGCAGCATATTGGAATCAAAGAGGAAAGTCATAGCTGAGATTCTCAATTTGGAAGAACGCACTTCTTATGAACCCTCTCTTCAGAGTGAAGGGACACAGCTTGGAAAACAGAGTCATAGCTTAGTTACTAGTTCTGAGCTTGACGGGCCCTTCTAGAAGCGGAGATTGCATTTGGAAAGGGGAGGGGCTAACGAGGCTGATTTTATTTACTTAAAAATAATTTTTTAAATTAAGAGATGTTCAGCTTCTGCACCATGTGATAATCTATAAAAATTGGTCTCTAATACTTTGCCTACCTAAAACGTGTTCCCAAATTCAGTTCTGGAGCAAAGGGCTTATCTGAAACAATGGTAGAGCCCAATCCAGTAGCCTGGACCGGAATCTGGTAGGTGTTGCTGTTTTCGATGTCCAACACGACTGTGTCTTTGAATGTCACTATGTCATCCAGGTTGGCGGTCAGTGTCACTTGAACCTCGGTTTCCGGGGGAACCGTGCCTTCACTGGGCTCAACAGTCCAAAGGGACTTTTTGTTTGCCTGCAACACAAGACTACAAGTTAAGGGCAAAGATATTCTTGGCTTTCCACCCTGCGCATGTCAAAGCCTTCTCTACTTCAAATGCCTGGTACTGTGGAGCTCACATCACAGACAAACATTATTTTTTCAAATCAAAGCAGCTGGGTGTTTGTTGGCTTCTTTTTTTTTCTCTGATTCTGAAGAGCAAACCTACAATTCTACTTCTGAACACTGTGATGATTCTTTACATTTCTTTCTCATGATAACAGTCTAGTTCTCTGACAAGCCTATACTAATTACCTGCTCTAATCTCCAAATTCTGAGATATCAACAGAAGGTACAACACCCTTTCTGGAACTTGAAAGTTTAAAGGAAATATTTTTAGCTGCTGAGTTTCTATGATGTTATAGTGAGGATGAGCAGCTTTCATTAATAAACACAATGTAGGAAGTTGTTCTGGTTTCTATTATTTCATACAATCAAATCGTATTTGCTGAAGTCTCATGCTTACTTTGAAGTATGCGGGAGGACAGCATTACAGAGTTGGAAGCGATTCCCACCAATCTGTTCTTTTAACCACTCTGCCACTCAGAGCTCAGTCTCTCTCCTCCTGAGGCCTCAGGCCAAACAATCCCTTCCAGGGATTTTAAATGGCAAGCCTTCCCCCAGGATTCTTGATCCCCTTTAGTGTGTTCTATTTCTCCCCTTAACACTTCTTTTCTTCTGGCACAGCACACAACTGACTTATTTTTCATGCTTGTCTGTTTCCTTACACCAGGTTAGAAGCTCCCAGAGGAGGAAATTGTCTTTTTTGTCCTCGTTGGTATTATCTAATACATCCCCATCATCTGTAAGTATGCTCACTTCATAGCAGGCACTAAATACATTTGCATCTGTCTTCTAATCAAACCCTTTGACGTTAATGTTAGAGAACCCATTTCTCATCTAAGCCCAGATTTTAACAACTCAAACTGGTAGATACCTCTTACTTATGTTAAGAAGAGATATGTTTTGTGAACCTTCCACACACTGGCATTTGATCTTCTCCCTTAGAACCAGAGAGAACAAACTGAATCTTCCTCTTTTGCTTCAGCACAAGCTTTCAAACTCTGCACCCCAGTTTTAGAAGAAAACCTGTAGGGCAGAATCAGTCTCCAAAGCTGCCACTTTGGTTAAGGTATCATGAGAACGAATCATCCTATAAGCATTTTATTTAGTCTAAAGTATATATTCCACTTCCTTGATGACATATTTTCTCAGATGCTCTGCTTTTCAGACATTTCTCCTTGTCTCTGTTTAGAGTGCAAGTTCACTAGAATGTGTAAGACTCTATTTGCAAATCTTGCCTGGCATTTGCTACCATTCTAGAATCTGTGCTTTGATCCCTCTTGCTGAAAAATCCTCGGCCATTATCTATTTAAGTGTTGTTTCCGCCTCATTGTCTTTTGCCCTTGCCTGGTGCAGGTCTACCTGGGTATGTGTGTGACATCTCTATTAGGCCCCTTGTCTCTCAGTCTCTCATCTGTACTTTCCACATTTTTGCTCCCTGTGCTTCATTTCTGATGACTTCCTCTGCATTATCTTCCAGTTTGCTAATTCTTTCTTCAACTGTCTATAACTCACTGTTAAACACTACTACCATCTGCTTCTCAGCTTTATTTTTATATTTTGATTTCAGGTTTTGTTATTTATATTTCTTTTAATATTTTTTTTCAGCCTGTCGAGATCTTTCAACATTATGACATTGCACGTTTTAGTTACTCTTACCCCTCCTAATCATCTGCAAAATTGGCAAGCCAATTACTGTCAGGCCTTTTCAAGTAAATGCAGCACATACATATTCAGTAGTTCCAATGTTTAGGTGTCATGGGAGACACAAAAATGTCCAAAGCACATTCTCATTCCCAAGGAATAGACAGAAATGACATCCAGGGAGACAAACGTGCAAACAACAAAAATCCAAGTCACAAGAAGGCTGCAGTGAAAATGCCCCAGGGAGCTGTAAACAACACTTTTCCAGGGCAGAAGATATTGAACCCCTTTGAATGACAAGTGCACTAGACACGTTCTCTTTTCTATCCAAATGGCTGAGCTTAATTACCAGCCAGCTTGATCCTTAATTACACTGTGCTATTGACTAATAAAATCCAACTTTATTTCACTCTGGTATCATATGAAAACAGTCACTCAAAATTAACAAAAAATATATCCCTATTTTGTTTGCTCTATCATGTAAACCAGTTCTGGCCCATTTTACCCTGGATTAATAGTCTTAGAAAATATTTAGTAATGAACAATGCACTGGGAAAAGGGGAGAAAAAAACAAAGACTAAGAGCTGTAGATATCACTTAGAAGCTTCCAGGATAACTGAAAGCAAAAGCCAAGCGCTCAGTTTTATTGAAGAAGTGCTTGGTTCCTTGGCTCCTCATACTCTTCTTCTGAGTATGGTAGTGCAGAAGGAGAGCGCTAAAGCAAAGCACATAGAGGAAAATAATGTAGTTTAGAACAAATGTAAAAATATTCTCTGTGGGTTGGATTGGAGCAGGCATCCAGTACAAATTACTCTTCTTCCACTTAATCTCTATAGTGTAGTTCTCAATGGTGTGCTTCTGGTGGCACGTGTTGCTCTACTAGTGCTTAGGTACAATGTATGGCTGTGAATCAGGGACTTCCTGACTAGTCTAGGTCGGGGTTTGGGATGCAGCTGCACTGATGGCTACTGTTAATAAGAATGTACATTGCTGCAAAACCTCAGAGGGTGGCAATGCCTTGGAATGTCACTGAAACTCTGGTCTTGCCTCACTGCTGATTAAGACTATGGGCCCTGAATAAACACTCTTTCAGGAATAGGCCTGTGGGGACTTAAATAAGGAAAATCTAATATTTAAAACTAAAGGCCAGTTTTTCAATGATCAACTGAGGGTAAATCCTGTTAGCTCAGAAAGCTAGTTACAGAACTAACAAATTGCATTTCAAAATAAATAAAGCAAATGAAGGAAAGAAGAGAAATTTTCAAGACTATGGATTGTTTAGAATGAGGATGTAGACGAATGTTGATACAGAAATTTTACTATTAATGGAAAAAACAAACTTAGATTTAAGAGTCCTATTGTTACTCATGATTTTTTAAATATGAGACACCTCTAGAGTGTCAGCTTAACAGATATAATTAAACATCGAACACCACACTGGATAAACTAGAATGAGACAGGATATTTGTATAGCTATCTCTCTTCAAAGGACACGTACAGAGAAAAGTATGTTGACTCTTGTGTGACTTGATCTGTTTTTCTAAAATGTTCTATCTTTTCTCATAGTAAATTACTCTTTGTAGAGTCCTAAAATATTTCTAATACAGTAAGTGAAGTATGTCTTTCCAGAAACATTAACGTCATTTGTGAATAGGTTTATCATAAAAATTAATAAAAGATAATACTCATAACTTTTCAGATTACAGATAAATTATAATTGGTGAGAGAATCTATAATGATTAATGTTACTATATTCTGCTTGTACTTAGATTCAAAGAAATCAAAGAAATAATTTCTAATTTTTTTTAAACAAACAACATTTTTAACTATCTTAATCCACTTACAGTATTGTAATGCTTCTGATGGCTCTACCTTCATGAACTCAACTAATGCCAAGTCTCCCCTCCAACTGCCCTGTCTCCCCCACACCTCCATTTAATACTGTCACACTGGAGACTAGATATTCAGCACAGGAGTTCTGGGAGAACTCAGACATCCGGCTCATGCCCCAGTCCTCAAAAGTCATGTACCGCTCACATGCAAAATACATCCATTCCATCCCACCAGTCCTGGCATGGCGCCTGCACCAGCATCAACCCTAAATAAAGTAAATAGTCTCATCTAGAGAGCATTTCAGTCAAGGTCCTCCAGTTCCTCCTGAGCTAAAATCTCTCTGTACCTGTGAACCCATGAAACCAGACAAGTTGTACATTTGCTTCCTCCCCTCAATCTTGCCTAATGAGGACACAGTGAGAAGGTGGCAGTCTACGACCCAGAACCAACCCAGCTGCCTCCCTGATCTTGGACGTGCAGCCTTCAGGACCCGCGGTCAAACTTCTGTTAAGAAGCTTCCCAATCTGTGTCAGCCTGGATGAAGTCAGGCCTAAAGTGAAAACACTGAGTTCCTCTAACAGAGTCAAACTAGAAAATGACATAAACATGAGCTCTAAAAGAGCTATAAATGCAAATGAAATTTGCTGCAAGTACTTTTTAATGGATCTTTGTAGCTTTTGCTTTATCAGCATTTTTACTGCCATACACGGGAGTCCAATATTTTCAGTCTGACCTACCCAATCAAAGTGACACATGGAAACAGAGCTCTCATGCATGAGTAATCAGCCTGTCTCCTTACTTTAAACTACTTGTCTTTCTTACTTTCAGCTTTTAGATTCTAGTTTACTTTCTTAGATAAAGTAATGCTAGTTGCTATAACAGAAAGATCTGTGGCACTCAACAGCTTAACACCATAGCAGCTTATGTCTGGTTCACGTGATTCTAATTGATGACAGATGTCAGAAGGGGTTTCTGTCCTGCTCAGTCATTCAAGGACTCCAGCTAAACAGGTTCTGGCATCTTTAAGTTGTGGCCTCTATGCCATTCTGGACATTGACACCCAGCTGGTCAATAAGAGGAGAGAGAGGATGGAGGGCCATGTGTAGGAGGCTAGGCAACAGGTCTAGGTGGTTCACATCATTTTTGCCCACCCCCTCTGGCCACTTCATGTGGCTGTACCTAACTTCAAAGAGAGCTGGAAATGTCCCCGGCTCTGGGTCCGAGAGGAACGGGGAGAGCATGGTGAGCTGCCAGCTGTGCTTTGCCAGAGCTACCTTGATGCTTCTACTCCAGTGCCACATCCTTAGGTTTCCCAACTCAAAGCTCACTCCATCGGAACAGAGAAGTGGAGACATAACTTAGATTTCAACTCCTCTGGGAACTACAGGCTGGGAGGACAGGTGGATGGACAGCTAGAAGATAAACTGAAAAAGTCC